GTGACATTGCAGTGCATTGGAGAAACGAGGACCTTTTCAGTAAATGATGATGAATAAACTAGATATTCATATCGAAAACAATAAATTTTGGCCAATACCTCACACCAAACATAAAAATCAGTTCTAGGTGTACTCTAAGTCAAAGCGTGAAAGGTAAAGCAGTGACTTTTTTTTTTTAGAGAGATAACAGCATTTCTTCATGACCTTTGAGTGGGGAAGGATTTCTTAAGCTCGATAAACACTATCGAAGGGAAAGACTGATAAATTGGACTACATTAAAATTAAGAACTTCTGCTCATCAAAAGACCACTATAAAGAGAGTGAAAAGGCAAGCCACATTCAGAGAAAATATTTGTCATATGCATATCCAGTACAGGATTTGTGTTCACAATATATAAAGAACTCCAACAAATAAATAAGAAAAAGGTAACTCCACCTAATAAAAAATGAGCAAAAAGACTTGCACAAGGACCTTGCAGAAGATATTCAAATAGCCATAAATATATGAAAAGGCACTCACTTCAGTTATTATGCAATAAAGCCCCAATGCAATGTCACCATATACCCAGCAGAATTGCTCCACCGCAATAGGCAAAGGGCCAACATGTGTTGGAGGGACAGCTGGAACAGCTGGAACTCTCAGACCGGGCCCCGTGGCCCTTTGGCTGTGGCCGAGCTCCTGAATGCCCCTCACTCGCTGTCCTGGCTTGTGCGGCGATCACGATTTGCACATCCCCAGGTTACTGCAAGTATGAACATGCGAAGCCCTTCACACAGAACCAGGCATATAGGCCACGCGCCACACATGGGAGCTTCTAGAATTTTCTTTTCAGGACTTACTACCCTGTTCTTTCCCCTGGGTTTGTCTGTAAGGGCCTCCTCATAGTTACTAGAATTTTTTCCAGAGGTTATTTAATGAAGCAGCGATGATAACAACAATAATAATAGCCAGCACTTGTGTCGTAGATAGTAACTGCCAGCTTAGATATCTATCTTTTTACTCACTTATTCCTCCTAACAACACCATAATGTGCAGGCACGAAAGCATCATGGCACTGCTGTTTCTCCCATCTTACTGGTGAGAGAACTGAAGTTCCCAGAGATTAAGTGCCTTGCTCAAGATCACCCAGCTAAGACTAGATTTTCTACTTCTTGCTCTGGTTTCTCTGTACCTTCCCGTAACTGTTCCCTTAACGTCTCTTTATGACTGTTTAGATCCAGCCTGATCTCTCCTTCCTAAGTTCTGGAATATTCCTTGTATAACTTAATAATGATGTTAATAACAGCCCCCACGTAACAACCACAACATGATAATAGTAGTAGCTGCTACCTCTGTTTTTGTTGAGTGCTTACTGTGTTTCACATGCCATGCTTGGCTCTTTTTGTGCATTATCACATCAAATCCCTGGAGCAACCCAATGAGAGGGCTTTGAATGTCACCACTGCTTTATGGAAGCTGAGCTCCAGAGAGAAGTGCCTCGTCCAAGGCCACAGGTCGGAAGTGGCAGGGCCGGAGGTCAACTCCAAGTCTGTCTGTCGGACTCTAAAAGCCTGAGCTTCTCACCACTTGCTGATACTCGCTGTATTTGACTTTTGGACCCTTGACTGTGTTCAGTCTTTGAATGCTCTGATGTACCTTATGTTTATGACGACAGTCCCCTACCACCCCCCACCCCCCATTCAGCACTCACTGAGCACTTACTGTGTACCAGATATTTTGGAGTATATTGGGGTCACCAAGATCAATAAGATGATAATGCTGACCTTGACAGACTCAAGTCTAGTCAGGGAGGCAGATCATTGCAAATGAGGTTGGTCTGTGCAGCAGCAAATGCATATGGTTACGGAGGTGCCAGAGAGGAGGGAACAGTCAAACCCACTTGGGCAGGAGGCTGGGGAGGTTCTGTAAGGAGTGCTTTACCAAGAGCTGCCTGCACTGGGTTTTGAAATAGGAGTAAGAGTTGCAGCAAGGGCATTCCGGGCAGAAAGCACAGTGTGTAGACGTCAGGGCTAGTCCTAAAGGTTTTATTTATTTGTTTATTTATTTATTTAATTTTTTAGGCGAGGCAACCTTTGGTTGACCTCACAGATTGCAAGGACCTTGTCAATTTACAGTCCGTTATTTATTTATTTTTTTTTAGCACCTACAGCACCTGGTCTTCCTAGGTGGTCTCCCATCCAAATACTAACCAGGCCCAACCCTGCTTAGCTTCCGAGATCAGATGAGATCGGGCTTGTTCAGGGTAGCATGGCCGTAGACTAGTCTAAAGGTTTTAAACTCTACTATCCCTACCAGGGGTCTTTGGAGCAGACCCACTCACTGAGGCCACTGCCTCGCATGGGGCCTGAGGTATGATAGCGTGATGCTCATCGCTGTTATCCTCTACGTGGAAGGAAATACCAGAGCGGGGAGGATCTGCCTCTCCCATGGCACCAACAGTGCCTGTCACAGCAGGGAGTGGGTATGCTGTGGACCGCATGGAGTATCACTGATGGCCACAGTGTAAGTGACTCAATGGCTCTGAAACTTTAGTGGAAGCTTGTTCAAAATGCAGATTTGGGGCCCTGCACCCAGGAGTCTGTGGGTTGCTCTGAAACCAATGGGTCCTGATGTGCAATCTGTGTTGTGGACAAGAAGCCACTGTCAGGACAGAGTACGGAGACAGAATGGTTTCCTGTAGACAAAGGTGTCAAACAAGGGTGCATTTTATCTCCCTATTTGTTTAATCTGTATGCAGAACATACCGTACGAAAAACTGGGCTAGACCCAGAGGAAGGAGGAATGAAAATTCGTGGAAGAAATATCAATAACTCACGATGTGCAGATGACACCATCTTACTGGTAGAAAGTAGCAGTGATCTGAAACAACTTCCAGTGAAAGCGAAAGGAGAAAATGCCAAGAGTGGGACTCGCGTTTGAATCTCAAGAAGACGAAGATCATGACTACAGAAGAAACGCACAACTTTAACATAGACAGTGAAGACACTGAAATTGTTAAAGATTTTGCTAACTTTGGTCCAGTTGTCAATTCAAATGGTGACTGCAGCCAGGAAGTCAAAAGAGGGCTGAGACTCAGAAGGGCAGCAATGGAAGAATCGGGAAAGATCACCAAGAGCACAGATGTGTCATTTAAGGCCAAGGCTATGATCATCTACACCCTCGTATTTCTAATTACGATGCAAAGATGCGAAAGTTGGACATTGAAGAAGGCTGATGGGGAAAAAAATTGATTCATTTGAAATATGGTGTTGGAGGAAAGCTCTACAGACACCCGGGACTGCCAGAAAGACGAACAACTGGGTCCTAGAGCAAATTAAGCCTGAAATGTCACTGGAGGCGAAAATGACACACCTGAAGCTGTCCTATTTTGGGCACACCACGAGAAGGCAGGGTTCTTAGGAAAAGACAATAATGCTGGGAAAAACAGAAGGCAGCAGCAAAAGAGCAAGACTGAATACGACATAGATCGACTCTCTAAAAGAAACCACAGGCCTGAGTGTACAGGAGCTGAGCAGGGCTGTTGAGGACAGGACATTGCAGACAGCACTCATTCATAGGGTGGTCAGGAGTCGGAGCCGACTCACCGGCACTTAACACACCCGCGAGTCAGTTCCCTGGGTCTGGGGGTAGGGAACTAGCATCTGCAGCTTAGGTGATTCTGATGCAGGAGGCCAGTGAATCACAATTTGAAAAACTCTGCTCTTTGAGTCTCTTGGGGAGGATGAGTCAAGGACACATGACGAGAGATTTCTGAGTGGATCCCCCTGGCGGTTCGTCCAGGGTGGTTCAGTGCCATGGAGTTGCCTTATCACAGAGGGAAACTGGCCTCTGCTCCCACGTGCAGCCTTGCGGTAGATTTGGGCCCAGGTAGTGACTTCCGTTCGTGGAGATTTCTGTTCTAGTTATTGCATGGTAAATTTGCAGGCATTTTTTAATTCAAACCCAGCTTCCTTAAGCAGCAGATTGTTCCTTATTGTTCCATCTTCAAGGTTCTACCTTTTCCCAGTTTTTAGAGATTTTCGACTCTCCAATCTTTCCCTGTCCTGCTTTCACCAGCCCCCACCCCAAACTGAAGGCGGTGATAATAAGTCAGGAGATGAGTCGCTCCTTCTTCATATCCCCTTGTCCTTCCCAAGTCTGAGGCTTCCACAGAAGCTGAAATTACCTCAGCTGTGGGCTCTGGCAGTGCTGCCTCTTAAAAGGCTCCTAGGCTTCTGCTTACAACGGGCCTCAGCGACTCTTTCAGTTACCCTCACTGCCAGTAGAGGACTGGCCTGGGCCTTCTTGTCTCTGCCCCAGCCGCTAGCACAAGTCTGGAGCAACGTAAGCCTTCCAGGATCATATGGGTGGGTGAGGTACAGTGCCATGGTCTCAGGCCCACTTGACTTTGTGAATTCAACAAGCTGTGCTCAACAGATAAGATAGGTGCCCTGCAAGCAACCCAGTTCATGTGAGCCATCAGTTCCAATGGGCGGTCTGCACTTTATGGGGGATTATGGGCAATCCAAGGGTAATCTTGATTGCACGTGATTTTTACCTCGCTTGAGACCCACCCTCCCTAAACTGTGGCCCTACCTCTTGTGGGTCTTATGTTAGGCATTCAGCCCTAAGCCATGTTTCTCTACATGCTCCATGAGCATCAGACTCACCTGGGAGCATGTGAAAAAGACCAGTGCCTGCTCTTCCCTCAGCCCCCCTGAATCTGAATCTCCAGGTGGGCTCCCATAATCCCACTTTATCCAGCTCTCCAGGTGATTCTCTTATGATTGAGGGTGGCTGTCTTCAAGGGCTTGACCATTCTTATACCTCAGTTGGGGTTGGTGTGTCCCTGGTTATCTAATGCTTCAAAGCCATTTTCTTGAGTGGTGAGGTCTGTCTCATCTGAATGGAAATAGTGCTAACTGGATCTGAAAAAGCACAGCCATATTGTCCCCCAAGTATTGCTAATGGTCATTGAGCCTGGCTTTCATGTCAGTTGGTAATCTTTCCTTTCTCTCAGGTATCTGTACCACGTTTTGACCAAAAACACTACAGTCACAGAACAGAACCGGAACCTGCTGGTGGAGACCATCCGTTCCATCACCGAGATCCTGATTTGGGGAGATCAGAATGACAGCTCTGTATTTGAGTAAGGGTTTCTGATGTTTTTTGATTCTTCTTCTTTTGAATATTTTTCTAAATGGATATCAGGAGTCATTTCTGATGTCAGAATTTCACGTCAATTTGGTCTTATACAAATATATATCTCTACCTCTCTATCTATGTAAAATGTCCTTGAAACACTGTAGAAATGGAAGCTGAAAATGGGGTAATTATGGAAATGAGTCTCTCTAGAAAATCTGACAACATCGTGGATCATTTTCCCAGTGGTGTCTGATTATCATCCCCAAGGAAGGAGACAGTGTCCTGGATGCTTAGACTCTAAGGGACCCAAAAGGACCCTGCCCTGGGAGAGACTCTAAGGGTGGACTTGTTTTGTGTTTATTGATGGAGGAGGCTCAGTGCCGAGCTCTTGATGAGATAATCCCCCTGCGTCTCTCAGGACCCAGGGTGGAGGCCCTGTTGTCCCAGTTGTGGCTAAGGTCACACAGCTGTTAGTGAGGTGTTGAAGCAGTGCCTCCTGCTGGAACCCACACAAGAGTTTGTCTTTATTCTCTTGCTTCCTAGATGAGCAATCTTAGGCCAGCCTCAGTTTCCTCTTAGTCCAGCCTCAGTTTCTTCATTTTTAAAGGAGAGAGTTTCTTGCCTAGTGCCTGATATAGAATAGGCACTAAGAAATGTTAGCAGGTCATAATAAAAAAAAAGGTGTCTCTGTTGGAAAGTTAAAAAGAAAAAGCTGTTAACTATGAACTAATTCCCAGTAGACCTGGCTCAGGATCCGAGTGCAGAAGAAGTTGGGTTATGACAACCATCAAACACAACCACCAAAAATATTTTATATTTTTATATAAAACAATCTCAATTATAAGTATTGAGGCCACTTTAAAACCCATTTAAAAAAAAAATAAAGGTATTCTCTTTCCAACTTGGATTCTTATTAGCTATGCTGATTTTCTGGATAGCTCTATATTTTCATCAGGAGGATTAACTAAGATAAAGCTACTTATGGAAAGTGTAAACCTGTGACACTGGCCATGATCCCCAGAGGACAACATGAGTAATAAAGCAAGGTGTTACTTATAAATGGGACTAGCTTCTTTTAAGTATCCATGGGGAATTGGTTGGTCATTATATTTTTGGAAATGAGAGAGACCCTTGCGTTAAAGATTAGAAACCGTGTCCCTGTTTACTAGAATGCCCGCTTAAAAAACTCCTGAGCTCTTTGAGGTCCAGTAATTCTTAAATGGCTGCCTAACAGAGTCCCCAAGAGAATTTTTTTTTTAATACCTTTTTTATTTTGGAGTAATTCACGAAGATAGTACAGAAAGTTCTCATATACCCCTCCCGCGTGTCCACCGTTGTTAATATCTTTGATTACCGCGGTGCATTTTTTGAGCAGTTGATATCGGTACCTGATTATTGAATAAACTCCAGACTTGATTTGGATTTTGCCAGATTTTCCCATTAGTAGCCTCTTTTTGCTTTAGGATCCCAATTCAAATGTCTTCCGCAGTGCATTTAGTTGTCACATCTCCCTAGTGTCCTCTGGTCTGTGGCAGTGTCCTGTCTTCCCTTGTTTTTACAACCTTGACACTTTCGAGGAATACCTATGCCACCTGGGAGCGTGGGAGTTAAGCCTCACCTTCTGAAAGGGAGGAGTATCTACATTATTTGAAATTCTTCTGCATGGAAGATTTGTTTCTTCTCCCCAGTTATTTATTTAGTCAACCATTAATCAGTATGAATTCATGGATATTTATTTTATACTTTGGATTATAATCCAATACTGCATTGTGTATCTTGTTGCTCAGTTTGTCCCAGCTTTGGCCATCGGGTGCTCTTTCAGGTTGGTCCCTGTGTCCCTTTGACACGCCCCCGTCCTTTTGTTTTTTGAGCACTTCCTGACTTCTTGGTACTATAAGATGCTCTAGGCTCATCTTGTATTTTCCTTGCCACAGCCCTAGAATTAGTCATTTTTCCAAGAAGCCCCCCTCCCCCGCTCCTCTGGGGTGCTTTAAAAAATCCAGATCCTTGGACTTCATGCTGGATAAGCTCTAGGTACAGGCATTTTGATGAGTTCCTAAGTGGACCGTCATTGTGCTGCTGTGAGCTTGTTGGGTGATACTTGTAAACAAGGTAAACAAAATAGGTCAAATGATTGGAATATTCTGGAGTGGGGGATGGTCAATGTGAATGGCTCCCAGCGTCAGAGTTGGAAAAGATTTTAGGGGTCTTTTTTTAGGTCACTTATTCATTCATTTACACTTTGATGGGTTTAAACAGGCCCACAGCCCTGCCACCATGCAGCTGACAGTTGAGGGGCGAGAGACAACAAAACTAAGTCAACCAGCAGACACACTTGACTGCAGGAATTTGTTTAGAGTATCCCAGATGAGAGGTTATCTGGTCTTAGCTTAAATTCAGAGAACATATAACTAGAAGCATTGCTTTCTTCCTTTAAAGAAAGACACTAGGGCATTCTTTCTCCTTTTCAAGACTAAAAGAGCCAATGTGTACCCCCAAAAGCCAGTGCCACCAAGTTGTGTACAGACAAATGTCCTGTCCAGAACAAGAATGGCAAATGCAGATGTGGGAACTCCTAGGGTCCCCCACCAAACCAGCATCTTCTATTTCCTTCCAGTTCTTTTTCCTTAGATATGGAAACTACAAACTTGACAAATTAGAAACCAAAGCTCTTAATATTCAGCATTATCTTGCCCCTTTGTGGGGAATTCCCATTGTTGTTGTTAACACTCAAAAGACATGGAGAGCCGAGGAAATGCTTAGTTAGGAAAACGAAGGCTATAAAATATTTGATGGAAAATTCTGCTTGTCGGGTTTATAAGCATAGATTACTGTGTAATCATTTCGCAGGTAAAGGTCTTTCCCATTCTGTCAGAAATCTAGTTAACTGCTTCCCAGAATCCGCACTGTTCTCACATTCTGGGAGGAGTGTTTGAAAGGTCGCATTGGCCTTGGTGGAAGACAGCGTCATGGGAGCTGGATAGCACAGCAGCCAAGGCTGGGCGGGCGACGTGGCCTGGCTGCTTTGCGGATGGGGGTGGGGGTACACATGTGCACTCTGCATGTAGCCAGGATGATTTGGACTTTCACATGTGGAAGCAAACCGCTGACACTTTCCCATTCCCTCCCTAGCTTCTTCCTGGAGAAGAACATGTTTGTTTTCTTCCTGAACATCCTGCGGCAGAAATCAGGCCGCTACGTGTGCGTTCAGCTGCTGCAGACCTTGAACATCCTCTTTGAGAATATCAGTCATGAGACCTCACTTTGTAAGTAGTATCCTTGACACCTACCTGCCTTTGTACCACCAAGTGTCGGCAATATGTAGTTTGGCATGTTTTTTGTGTTGTTTTTTTGAATGCCCGTGCTTGCCATGAGTGCTTGGACTGCCGTGACAAAGTACCCCGGACTGGGCGGCTTAGACGACAAATTTATTTTCTGAAGGCTGGAAGTCCAAGGTCAAGGTGCTGCAGGGTTGGTTTCTGGTGAGGCTGCGCTTCTTGGTTTGCAGACGGCTCCCTTCTCGTTGTGTCCTCATGTGGTCTTTCCTCTGTTCACGTGCGTGCGCGTGTGCGCGCGCGCACACACACACGCACGCACACACACACGATTCTGGGAGCCCTTCCTTTTATAAGGACACCAGTTCTGTTGGATTAGGGCCCTGCCCTAGGACCTTATTTAACCTAATTCTCCTTAAGGGCCATCTCCAAATACAGTCACATTGGGGATTAGGGCTTCATCATAGGAATTTTGGGGGCGCTCAGTTCAATCCATAACACCACGTTTATCCCTGCATGGTGAGTACTGTGAAGGGTTAAGAGAGGGCTGCCTCCTGCTGAGTGATTCTGTTCGTGTTTCTACTTCCTAATTTGTTACTAAAGAATTAGGAGTCACTGAATAATCAGTCAGCCAAGGGAACAAGCATTGGAGCAGCAGGAGGAGGGAGAACTCGCCAGGGAGTATGCAAGGGTGTGGGCTTTAGCATCCGCAGGACTGGCACGTGTGACTTGGAGCTTCTTCTCTGCCCTCACCATGTCCCCGGTTCTTCATCCGAAACAACCCCCGCACCCCCGCACCCCCGCTCCCGACAGGCAGGTGCTGTCCCTGCCCTCATTTAAAACCCGGAGAGTTTGAGTCATTGGCCCAAAGTGACAGAATCGAGAAGGGGTTCATCTCAGGCGAGTTATATCAGTGGTCCTTAACTGGGGCGGCGGGGAGGGGGTGCCTCCAGTGGATATTTGTCAGTATCTGAAGACATTCTTGGTTGCGGTAATGGTGGTGGTCGTGGTGGGGTTTGCTACTGGCATTTCATGGGCAGAGACCAGGGATGCTCCTAAATATCCCACCCTACACAGGACGACCCACAACAAAGGATTCTACAGCTCAAAATGTCAGCAGTGCGGAGGGCGAGAAACTCTGATTAACCCTGATTAAGGTTGAGCATCCTCTGTGCTCGACCAGCGTGCTGTCTTTGTTAGTACGAGATGACCACACCAAGCCCCAGACCCTGCTGCAGAAAGTAGGAGAGAGAGGCCAAGTGACCAAATGTCTATGTCTGAGGCGGACTTTAGGTTCCCCAAGACAGGTTTGAAAAAAGTTTCTGGTGCGTATAAGGAGGTAGAGATGGTGTCACTGACATTCCTTTGGGGAAGGAGGGAGAGGTAAGAAATAGCGGTTGAAGGGAGGCTATCAGAAGTGGCCACTAGATGGTGCTTCTGTCCCACAAAACTCCTCACACTGCCCAGTGAATGTGAGTTGACAAACGTTGAGTTGACTCACTCTCCTTAAGTGGTTTCTCTTGTTATCAGCTTTTGTTACGCTGAATATGAATTATGTGTGGTTTCTGAAAACTCCAAGTGGGGAAGACCCAGCTCAGTAATGCAGGCCCTGGACTCAGAACCACACATTCCCCACGCATGCATGGGGACTGATCCCCAACCGGACTGTTAAAGACAGTAGTTTCCACTTCTACGAAGAGGAGCTCATCCTAGTACCTGCGGGATGGAGTGGTTAGAGGACTAAGCATGACTGCGTGTGTGCGGCGCGTAGTACGGGCTCTGGCAGACGGAAGTGTCCAGAAGAGCTGGTTTTATCATTAACTCCAGCGTTCCTCCAAATGCCTGTTCTCTGATAACCCCTTTCTAAGCCCAGCAAGCCACGGGCTGCTAGATTAAAGATGGGGGTTGGGACAATGAAACATTCTGGGGATCCTGGATCACATGGCTTTTCTTGTAGCAGGTCTAAAAAGGGCTCCCTGAGAAAAGAAACTCAGGCAGATGCCACTGGCTCTATGAGGAATTCACCAGCGCGCTTTTATAAACGCTGCCAAAGTGGCAGAAATCACTGCCTTGTTACAGAACTTAAATTTGTGGGGGATGAGACAGATAGATGACTTTTGCTTTTATTTTTATTTTCTAATTATAGAAAGAAAATGTTCTCATTATTAAACAACAACCGAAAAAAAAAAATCAAGCATTACAAAAATATAGAAAGCAAAAGCTCTATAGAATTTCACGCTCAGTTCAGTTTACACATACCATTCTCATACCATTCTGCCGTTTGCTTTATTTCCCTCCAGCCTGCCAGTGTATTTTATTTCTTCGATTGTCCGTTTATGCATCCTTACGTAGTTTGGTTCAAGGGTTGCATTTTGTTGGGTCATAACTTATTTAACTTGACCATGGGCATTTAGGTGGTTTCCAGATTTTCGCTATTACAAGCAGCCACTTCACGAGTGCACCTGTTGTTGCCTGTGACATAAGTGACAGAAGGCCCGAGAGACTGAGATTACTTATAGACTCCTAGGTTTATTATAAAAGGATACCACAGAAAGTTGGCTACACAGTGAGGGGGTAGGAGAAAAATCCCAGCCGAATAATAGACGCACCCCCGCTGCCCTCATGGTGGCCCCCCACCACCCACAGAGTCACCTTGTGGAGGCCCTGGAAAAGTCCCCACGGGGCAGCGATTGGAGCATGTGGCTTTTCCAGCTCAAGAATGTAGGCAGGAGGCTCATGGTTGCATGTCTGAAGCTGCCAGCATTGGCATCTGTACTTCTGGTGGCCCGGAAGCCACTAACCAGTCACGATGGGGCTCAACATGACATCTCCACAGTCTCTGCTCTTTCCAGCCCATCGATGCCTAACCACAGCCAGAATGACAGAATGGAAACGAAGTGCTCTAGGCAGTAGCATCCCCTAGGCTGCTTGGGTAGATGATGGACTGTTCAAGCATGGAATACTAATTAGCAGAAAGGAAAAAAGGGAGTAAATTCCCACTACGTGCAGCAACACAGATGACTCAGATATGATGAGTGAAAGAGGCCAGACATAAGGAGCATGCATGGTGTGTAATTCCACGTACGTGAAGTTCAAGAACAAGCAAAACTTACTGGTCTATGGTGATGGAAGTCAAAGTAGGGTTTGTCTGTCTTTGGACAATGGGTAATGACTGGGCAAGGGAACGAGGTGCCTTCTGGGGAGCTGGGGATGTGCTGTGTCTGATCTGTGTGGTGTTTATGGTGTCTGCGCTTGCAAAAATTCATCAAGCTGGACACCTAAGATTTGTGAGGCGTGTGTATATATATAAAAACACATAGGTACGTGTACTTAGATTCATATATATGTACATTTCCACGTATATCAAGCTGTACACTCAAGATCTGTGACATGTGGAGCTTCGTTTTCAAACACAGTAAGATTCTTAGGCCCTCACTCCAGACCTCTCTGGGAGCAGGCTCCAAGATCTGTCTCAGGAATTGTTCCAATCGGGAGATTTTGAAAACCGTTTTAAGACTACGTCCTTCACGGCCAGTCTGTAAAGTTAGACTCCCCAGTGTGCTTTTCTGAACGCAGTGGCTTTCCTGGAGAGCTGGCTTCTCCAGCTGCGACCTGTGCCATGTCTTCTCACAGCCCTGGACTCCCGGGTGGCTTTTGTGTTGTGTTTGGTGATTCCAGTCTTTTCAGTAATACTTTGGCCTAAGGTCAGTACCTTATTGAGCCAAATAACTTAATGGTTTATTTCCAGTTCACCCAAGAGCAGTTGTGTTCGGTCCTGGGAATACAGTGGTGGAGATTGTGACTGCAGATGATAGCAGTGAGAATAATGGCAGTGCCCGTTACCGAGTACGTGCTTTGTGTCCCTCACTGTCTTTAGTGCTTTTCATGTATCATCTCCTTTAATCTCCACAACAGCCCCGTGAGGCAGGTACTGTATTTTTAGTTTTTAGACAAGGAGACTGGGGAGTGAGGAGGGTAAGTGGCTTGTGCAGAGTCACCCAGCCAGGACGTGGCAGAGGCAGTGTGGGTCCAAGTCCGCGTTCGAACCCAGTGCATCTCACATACCAGATGATGGCAAGCCCTTTAAGGTTTCTTAACACAGAGTGCTGGGTCCACCCCAAAGATCCGACTGGGGGTCGGGGCTGGGGCCCAAGATCCAGTGTGTCCCATCAGCTCCCAGTGATGCCGTGCTGCTGGTCTGAGGACCAGTTTTGAGTAGTGACGCTCTGAATCACTCTGCTCTACTGCCTCGCGTGTCTGCCTGTGGGTGCGGATGTCAACTGTGTTTTGCCTTTAACCATTTGCTAGGAGGCAGGTGGGATGGTACAGAGCTCACAGGTTGGCAGCTGAGCAACCAGACAGCGGGGACAACGGAGCCTGCTTTGCAGGGTGGCTGGTGAGGACTCAGAGGAGAACATGTCTGACAAGGGCCCAAAGCCAAGGTCACGAACTGCAGGCCCACGGGTAGTGGCTGGTCTTTTTTTGCTGGCCAGTGCAGCTTTAAAAATGAACTGATCTAGTGGCCAGTGTTTCAAACTCAGAAGATGCAGCATTAAAATCTGTTTCTTAGCTTCCTTTGCAAAGTCGGAAGCTCTTGCCAGGCTGGCCTATATTTCTGCAAGGGCCTGGAACTGGGAGCTTGGAGGGGGTGGCCATTCTACAGTTGGCCCCAGTATCCCAGACCCTTGTCACCCAGGTTTTATTGTTGGCACCCAGTAGTGATGATGTTAACACAGGCTTTGACTCTGGGCCTGAGTTTGAATCCCATCTCTGTGATTTACTGTCTTTGCATCCTTGGGCAAATTAATCAACTTCTCTGAGTTTTGTTTTGTTTTTGTTTTTTTTTTACTTATCTGTAAAATGGGAAGAATGAGACCTACGCTATAGTATCGTCATGACAATTATAATGGAAAGCAGTCAGCTTGCTACTGGGCTCGTAGTGGAGGGTCAGCATAAAGTGGCTTTTATGAAATCTTGTTACAATATAGGGAGAAAAGAACTGTATGAGGCCTTTTGTGACTTTCAGGGATGACAGAGTGACTTTTGCTAGCAAAATGGGGAAGCTTTTTATAAAATACAGTGCTTTTTACCCTCATCCATTGGTGGTTTGTGAAATGCCCACGCACAGCTCATCTGTCCCACTCCAAGCTCTGTGTTGAACTGTGCCGGCCATAGAAGAAAATGCTCAAGTGTTCTTTTCTGTTTAGCGTGGGAGGCAGGGGTAACCCAGGCCTTTCTCTGGCATTGCTCTTGAACTTTTTAGTGACTATGCATAATGGCCTATTTCTTTCCTGGCTAAAGGTTAAGCTCTCTGCAAGCTTGTTTAACCTCACCCACCCAGAAGCTTGACTGGTTCGGGTACATTTACACTACCACCTGCCTGTCACCTGACATTTTCTGCTTGTCTTTCCTCTAGCACGAATTAACCGGTTTTTCTTTTCTTTTTTTTTTTCCTCCCTCTAGATTATTTGCTCTCTAATAACTATGTAAATTCTATCATTGTCCATAAATTTGACTTTTCTGATGAGGAGATTATGGCGTATTACATATCGTTCCTGAAAACACTTTCGTTAAAACTCAACAACCACACTGTCCACTTCTTTTACAATGAGGTAAGTAACTGCCACGTGGTACCTTTGAGAGGAAAGCTAGCTGGTCAGAGCAGCACCTTCTTTCCCGGTGGCCTTCTCTCTGTTTACAAAGCACTTATGTGTTCACTATTTCCTGACTTTCACAGCAATACTTGACCTTGGCATGCTTAAAATTTTTTAAAATTTAATAAGTTACCTCTCCGTTTTTGATGTAAAATTCAATTTGTGCTACCGAAGAGCATTATACCTGGCAGGGAAAAATGCTTGGAAGTTGACTTGGGGTCATGTTGCCGTGTGGGAAAATCAGGCACTCTAGACAGACCCAGCTTTGCCACTTCTCTGCTGTGTGACTTTAGAAAAGCCCCAGTCCTCTGAGCCTCAGTTTCCTCCTCTGAGAAATGGGAATGATAATACATACCTTGTAGGGTTTTCCAGGGATTGAATTAAATGTGATGATGTCTTGAAAACACCTAGTATATATCTGGCTCCCTAAAATCATAGCCATTGCTGTTCTTTACAAGTCAACATCCCTGGTATTCCTTGGGAGAATTACTAGAAATTTAAATAAATAAATTGCTGTCGTTTTCACAATTAAAAGTAGCTTGAAAAATAAAGTCAATTTATCTCACATGCCAAAAGGTACATATGCCGGCTGTCCTGGAACTGATTCATCCTGTAACTCAACCACTTTATCGAGAACCCAGGTTTTTCTATCCTTGGGCTCGACCTCTCATGGTCTCAGAATGGCTGCAGCAGCTCCAGACATCACATGCTCACATGCCACTGCTGAAAAGCCCGATGAGATCACTTCCTTATTTGTGTTCCTTTTTAACTTTCAAAAACTTCTTTCCCAGAAGCCTCCTAGCAGACCTCTTCTCATGTATCACTGGTTAGAAATCTGTCACATTTATTGAACAGTGTATCCAGAATTTGGGAGTGGCCTGACAGAACATTTCTAGTGTGGTATCTTATGAAGCTGCAGTCATCTGAAGGCTGGATTGGGGTTGAGGATTGGGATTGGCTGTTGTCAGGAGACCTCAGTTATATAAACTTCTCCAGAGGCTGCTTGAAGGTCCTCATGGCATGGCAGCTGGCTTGCCCCAGAATTAAATGATCCAAGAGACCAAAACAAGCTGTAATGCCTTTTATGAGCCAGCCACACACCATCAGAAGCCACACACCATCACTTCTGCCATAGTCTTTAGGCCACAAGGGCGAGGCTTGATTCATTGTGGGAGAGGACAACACGAGTGTGTAACACAGGAGATCAGGATCATTGGGCCACCTTGGAGGCCAGCTATCACACAGCCACATGGCAGGCATCTTCTGATTGGCTGTTGCACATGCTGCACGGCCTGTATTTGAAGTCAGACTGCAGTCTCAAACATATCGTCCGAGTCTGGGCAGAATCCATCCAGCTATCCTCATATGATGCAGCGACGGCGACCTGAACCTTGCTTTTCTTTTTCTTTGGGGAAGACCTGGCCTCAAAGGGAAGAGATACTAGGTGTCAACCACAAAACGTGCGGCAGTTTGAAAATTTAACATTGTGTGACCCAGTACCTAGCACATAGTAGATGTTCAATAAACGCGTCCAGAGACCAGATGAATGACATAGCATTCTCCAAGGGACTCTCCCTGGTGGAAGAAAACCCACCTGCAAAGGTCAGACAGACCAGAGAAGGGGCCAGATTCTCCCTCCACTCAGGTGAAGGTGGGCTTCTGTGTACCTGGCTGGGAGGGCAGAACTTTGGAATTTCAGGGCCAGAGTGATGCTTCTGGAAGAGCATCCTGCTGGTCACCAGAGGAATGGTACGAGCCTTGTTTTTTGAGGCGGACTTGGTGTCTTCTTTTATATGGGCCATTCCGGTAGCTACTGTTAAGTGTACACTTGACTTCTAGTGCTCAAAGTCAGTTCGTCCTTAATAGACAGTTGTCACCTCACTGGAGGTGGCCTCTTCCCCATACCCTCTCAGCCCATGAGTGCCCTCCAGTTGGCCATGTGGGAAAACTGGCCAGAAGGGGGCAGCAGAGCATGTCGTGGGGCGGCTCCAGGCCCAGATCCTATTGTGCCTTTTTTTCCTAAAGACTGCCACAGTGGACTTCTGTGGTTCTGAGCTGTTTGGGTCTGTTCTGATGATTCCTTTGTAGTGTCAGAAGATTCCTGAGACCTCCTCCTCCATGATAACGCTTATTCAACCCTTCTAGTGTTTCCAGATAGAGAAATATATACTAGCCAAGACAGATTCTGAATGTAGGAAAACTTGACACTTGCCTTTTTTAGCAGCATCTAATAACAACTGGCGTTACTATTGAGTGCTTCTAAGGTACTAGGTGCTGGGGTTAGCACTGTGCTGAAAATAACCTCATTTAATCCTAGCAGTTACGAAGTGAGAATTATTATCCCCATATTCTAGATGAAGAAACAGAGGCCTAGAAATATTACATCGCACGGCTAAGAAGTGGTAGAACAGATCACACATGAGCCCAGTTCTGGACCCTTTTCTGTTTCTTCCATGGTTTCGCCTCCCCATCCCTTCCCACAGTTCCCACTGGGAATGAACCACTGGCTTAAGGTTCATGTTTGGTAACATTTCTTGGTCTCTGGTAGAGTTCAGAAAGCTGGGGTCAGGGGCAGGCCTGTCTCACGGGCTTGTGACTTCTTTTTGGTATTCTTTCGTTTTAGCACACTAATGACTTTGCCCTGTACACAGAAGCCATCAAATTTTTTAACCATCCTGAAAGCATGGTTCGAATTGCTGTGAGAACCATCACTTTGAATGTCTACAAAGGTAAGTTTTCCTTCTGATTTCTACCGTGGCAGCTAGTACTCGCTCTCAGGTGTTTATGCATAGAATTCTCTGGTGGTAACAGGGAGCCTGTTTATCATAGCTCTCGTTGCTTGTCTCACAAAAGGCTTGTAGTTATTGACCATTTCACTGGGCCCTTAACTGAAATTTTTATGCCCCTGCCTTGAGCCTGCACACTCAGTTCTGCATGCTAAAGTCTTAGTGCCCATACACAGAAGTGGTAGTGTCCTAAGAGAGGCACATGCAGGACTCATTAAACAAAAGCAGAGTTGCTTTTTTTTAATATTAGATTTAAGTTTTTGTTTTGGCCTATAAAATAGACTTCCAGTGGGGATGTTATCTTTAAATAACATATAAAAGCATTTCACATCATGAACAGCAGGGGGCAGTATTGTATTCTCCACCAGCTGCCAAGCCCGGCAAATTCCTCTTTCTTTCAAGATGTGTTCAATGCCCAAATCATTGCCTCCAGGAGAAAGCCTTCCAGGGCTCCCTGCCGGCACCAGCACAAAGCCTGGCTGCTCACAAGTTTCCCGACCTGGAATTGCCCTCCAAGGCAATATCTTCTTGGCCGAAGGTTGGGGTTATTTTCCTGTAATCACCATACTGGAGCTGGGACTATTTTCTCAGGGACCAAAGGGTATTGACCTTCAGGAGTTACGATGTTATTACTTAAGATGACCTCTAATGGGGAGGGTGCGGGAGCTCCCCAGGGACTCACTCCAGCCTAGTCTGGGATTACGTTAAATTGAAGAACCAACCTTCCTAAGGGCCCAGTGGGGCCCATCCAGAGGTCGCAAACTGAGGGCCTGGGAGCGGAATCCAGCCCTGACAGGTTTTAATTGGCTTAGTTATATATTTTTTTAATACATAGTTGCCAATATTTAAAAACTGGGAGGTCTTAGGTAACAATCCGGGGTTCTGATCTGAGAAGGTAGATTCGGCTATTGCGGGCCCACAGACCTGCAGGGCGGTGGTGAGCTGGTGCTGAGAAGTAGCTGCCCGCTGTGGGGTCGTGGTCGCCAGTTCGCACACCAGGCCTGCCCGCTTCACTCATTGAGTCACTGGCCAGCCCCGCAGCCTTCTGAGTTTGCGACCTGCTCCGGGCTGCGGTTCCGCCGCCTCCCTCTCTGTTTTCTCTTGTTCTCTTCTAACCTGTGTCTTTTGGTTTAGATGCCTCCTGCCCCAGCTCTCTCCCTCTGAGCAGCTGTCTCACCATCCCAGTTCCTAACCCTGTTAACCGTTGTCTGTTTTTTGCCTTTCCTTCAATGACGATTCCTGTGTTCCTTATTCCAGTGTCATGTAAGTTATTAACCTCTGGTTTTCTGCTTTCTTAGCTTATCCTTACATGTACAGGAAATACAGGAAACTTGCTTGAGAATGGTGTAGCTTTCGTTGTAGCCTAGCTAAACACGCTGCTGATAAGTAGGCTTTCTAATGCATTATTGATGTTTAGCCCAATTAATTAATTTTATTAACGGTAAAAATAGCATAAGAACTGCCTTGATGAGGATAGTTTTATGAATAAGATAACCATTTTAAAGTATTTCCAGGAAGCCAGAAAAGATTCAGATTCTAATAGAGAGCTTTTTCATTGTGGCTGTTTTTTTTTTTAATCTCCCCCAAGTTATTTTTGGTAGCTTGACTTTTTTTTTTTCTCTTCTTTTGTGAATTTTCTCAGTGGATAACCAGGCCATGCTACACTATATCAGAGATAAAACTGCTGTCCCTTACTTCTCCAATTTGGTCTGGTTCATCGGCAGCCACGTGATCGAACTTGATAACTGTGTGCAGACTGATGAGGAGTAAGTGACCTCCTGGGGTGCTTATTAGGGAGACAGAGTAGGGGAGGAAAAAGTAAACATTAGAACAAAACTTACCCGCCTATGTGTAGGCAGAATATGGACTTCCACACTCAAAGGTTCCACCCACCTTTTCACTTTTTATAACAGTGGAAAGTGGGAAATACTGCAAGGGGGTGAGTACACTTACAGATGGGGTGCTAGGCAGCTGGTGAAAAGATGAAGATGATTCCTCGCTGGTGAACGGATAAACGAAATGTGGCATTTGCATACAGGGGAATAGTATTCAGCAATAAAAAGGAATGAAGCTCTGACACGTGCTACCCCATGGATGAGCCTGGAAAGCGTTATGCTCCGTGAAAGAAGCCAGACACAAAGGACCACATATTATATGATTGCATTTATGTGACCTGCCCAGAATAAGCAAAGCCATAGATTTATAGGTTAGCAGCTTCTTAGGGCTGGAGGAGAGGGTTTGTGGGGGAAATGGGAAATGACCACCTGTGAGTATAGGTCTTTTTATGGGCAGAGAGGATAAAAATGTTCTAAAATTGATTGTGATGATGGTCGGACAACTCTGTGAATATAGTTTTATATGTAAATTGTTAAGTACAAATTTTATACTTTAAATGTGAATTTTATGGTATGTGAATTATATCCCAGCAAATAATTTTTAAAAAAGATGGTGATTTGGGCCCCAGAGCAAAGAATAAGGATTTCTCAAACTCAGCACCACGGGTCTTTTGAACTAGATGGTTCTCTGTTGTGGGGCCGTCTGTGCCCTATAGGGTGTTCAGCAGCCTCCCTGGCCCCCATGCACCGGATGCCAGTAGCACCCTTCTCCCAGTTGTGACAACCAAAAATGTCTCCTGGCATTGCCACATCTTTCCTTTAAGGCTAAATTACCGTCAGTTGAAAACCACTGCTCCCAGAGTAACAGCTTTGCACAGACCTGGGGAGAGGCACATTGGATGGGGTCAGGTCAATAAAGGGACTCAGAAAGGCCTCCTAGGGGAAAGGGGGCTAGAGAGAATATTAGCTCTGGTATTGAGAAAGAAGCAAGGATAGCTGGGTGGCAGATCTGATAGAGCATTTGGGAACATAAGGAGCCATGTGGATGTGAACAGCACGGACGTGAAACATAAGGACGTACTTAACTCCAGAAAGAAGCGAAAAATGACGCAAGGAAGGAAATGAACCCCTAGTCCTCTCTTTGGCTCTGCAGTGAACGGTCATGATAACGTCAACACCAGTTGCTGATGGCTATTGGGGTGATGAAGCAGAGGGAACACAAAGGGCTCTGTCATACAGGATGTCAACACGTAATATCTGAAATGGCTGAGTCGCAAAATAGAGGTCCTCACAGATTTTATAGAAATGTGGGGGGAACTATCCATAAGAACTAAAAAGAGTGAAAAACTGCCTCCGCTGGAGGCTGGGCCAGGAGCTGTTCCTTTTTATTATCGGCTTATCAGTATTATTTAAAACCCATCTGCATATATTCACTAAGATATTTTTTGAAGTAATGTTTTAAAAAGTGAAGTACATTGAATATCTTGCTAAAGAAAAATCCCCACATTGTCCTAAGCAGGGTAAAAGCTTGCAAAACGTTGCATGCGCCGATGTTCTAGGCCTCTGGGCGGTGGGTTCATAGATACTTGTTATAATGTTAGGTTTCGCAACATGTATTTGCTATAAATATTTACTGCTTTGCAACACATATTTGCTATAAATATTTACTAAGTGTCTTATTAAAGCGTAATGAGGAATAATTATCCAAAATTATGTAAAAGAAGCAAAATCAATCCCGTTTTTACTTATTTTTTTAAAAGCATAGATGGTTAGAGGGATAATCGTACAACCTGCATTTTAGGTGTGACTGTAGAGGGACAGAAATGTGGAAAAAACAGACTGTTTGTTGTGGGACTGTAGGAGACTTAGATTTCTTTTTGCTTTTATTTTTTTTAAATTTTCTGTTTTATAAAATGACCATTTATTACTTGAGTAATACTCATAATACAAACACAGTGTCTTACCCTGTCTAGATTGCTCTTTGCAACAGACAGTACTTTGGGGAGTAGGGAAAATGCCCGCTGGCTGTTTTAGGGGCTCTGTCCTTGGCATGGGGGAAACTGACTCACCCATGGAACCCAACGAGCTTGCTTATTGCTGGGATGTGCACTTTGTTCCACATATTGTCGGGGCCAGTGGGTCCCACGCAGCTGCTGAGGCCTGCCTTTTCTTCAGAACTTCTCTGGAGTATTTTAATTAGCAAAGATTTATTGCTCTATTAATACTGCTTATCTTAGGAGCCAGGGGATCTCGCCACACTGGCTAGTGGCTGCTCTTGTGAAATGGCTCGCTAAGAGCTTAGCTCATTTTTGCTTTGTTTACACATCTTGTTTTGCGGTTGTGGTGGTGGTAGGGGGTGAATTATACTGAGGCCTCCAGAAGGTGAGGGGATTCCGGAAGTCCCCTAAAATCGATTAGCATGGACATGTCTATATTCCCATCGTGTATCTTACCAGTAGAGCCAGGATAGGTGTCTCTTGAGAGTAGCTCAAATATTTATTGTTGAGGCCCCCAGTGACCTAAGTCTCAGGCCATTGATGCTAGGCCCAAGGGCTCAAGCTTCGGATTCCAGGCTGAGATTGTCATTCTCTCGCCAGGCACCGGAATCGGGGCAAACTGAGCGACCTTGTAGCTGAACACCTGGACCACCTGCACTATCTCAATGACATCTTGATCATCAACTGTGAGTTTCTCAACGACGTGCTCACGGACCACCTGCTCAACAGACTCTTCCTGCCCCTCTACGTGTACTCACTGGAGAACCAGGACAAGGTGGGCCTGGGGGCCTGGCCCCACTGCTCCTGCGGGCTGAAAGTCATCTTCAGAAGGGGGGAAAACAGTCACCTTGAAAAGGGCTAAGCTTTGCAAGGGACCAAGGCTTTGAGCCTGAGAAAAAGTCCTTTCAAAGCAGTGGTTTTCCTTTCCTTTCCTTTTATTTCCTGAATTAGGGGAAGGTGGCAGGGAGAGAAAGAGAAAGTGTGTGTGTGTATAGACTGCAAAACTCTAAAAGTGAATGAGAAAAGAACCCTGACATCAGAATGAAACAGGAAACCTCTGCAAATTTAGGTTTTTGGCTTCTGTGCATCTTTCTCTTGAGGTATTCTCGTCCCTGGTAACTTTTTCTGGTAGTTGCCAGAGCTAATCGATTTGGAGAAGATCCAGCCAGCCACAAAACTTGCACAGAATGGGTGGGAAGGGATGAAACACACTTAGGAAGAGCTCCTGGGGTGATGACTGCCCCCATTGGCAGGCTCAGGCTCCCTCATGGGGAGAGTGCTGTTCAAGTGCGCATCCTCGGGTGTCCCCTTCCTTCTCTCAGGGATACTGGTCCAGCAGATCTGGGGTGGACCAGAAGTCTGCATAGTAAACCTGCCCCCAGAGGCTTCCCCTGTGAGAAATGCTGCTTCAGAGAGGAGAGACCTTCCACCCTGTCCCAGAGTTAAGGGACAGAGGCCTCGGCAGGAGGAGGGACAGAGCCAGCTGGTTACTCTGCAGGGGCTTCAGCCTCTGCAGATGTGTCCCAAGGGGGGTTAACTTTCTTTTTTGGAAACGGAAGATGGAGATTCTCACTGAAAAAGAGTACACAGAAGAAAATTGCAAGCCTAACTAGAACCAGCAGAGGCAGCTCTGGGAGGCAGACAGAAAGCATGGGAAGTGGAGTTTTCAGACCTGGGTTCAAATTCTGCCTCCTTTTCCTCACTGTGTGACCTTGGACAAGGCAGTTAACCTTCCTGAGCAAAACAAAGGTCCTGAAGATCCTCACAGGGTTGGTGTGAGCTAGAGCTCATTGAAGCTCAGTACAAATGAGGGGCTTTTCCAAGACTACAGTGACCATTCTGTCCCTGCCCCATTGTGTAAGCTTTTGAGAATAGGCCTCCGGGGGCCTCTCTGGCCGGACCTGGCCTTGGGCTCTTGGTGCCCCAGCTGGGGGAAATTAACATTCTTAGTAATTTAAGGAGCCAGTTCTTCTTTTGGGTCCAGCCCCTAATCTGCGACTTATAGTGAAAGATTTCTCAGCTGGAAAAATCATGGTCTTGCAGATAGTATTGAATGGGGTTAGACTGAATTTCTTTTACGGAGTGGACTTTTGACTAAACCAGAACAGCCAGAACCGCTCAGGGCCTGGAGGAAATCAGGGTGCCTCCTCTCCAGACAGACGGCTTTTGGCCGCATGTATTTTGTGCTGCTCACTTGTGTGACCGGATTTCTCTCTCTCTCTTTCCCGTCAACTTCCGCTAGGGAGGAGAACGGCCGAAAATCAGCCTGCCAGTTTCGCTCTATCTTCTGTCGCAGGTATGTCTGATCATTTGCCTGTGTCCCCAACACATTTAGGAGGCCTTAGAACGCCCCCAGAAATGTTCCAGGTCACATTGCCTTGTCTTCTCTCTCAGTGTGCCCCCATTTTGAAATAAAATAACAATAAAAGGAAAGAGGGTTCTATTTTGTAGACACTGAGAGGAGGTGCTAGTATCTTCTTCATGGTAGTAGATGGAAATTTAACAAGAAATGAAAAAATAAATCTAACCTGGCACTTAGGTAGTTGTTTTACCATGGGGACTGGGGTTTCCAAGACAACCAAGGAGTGTTGTAAATACCTTGGGAATGCAGACTCCTGGGCCTTATTCGTGGAATTTTGAAATAAGCTCCAAACTGCAGGACCCAGTGTGTACATACACACAGCAACCCTGGGTTAACAAACTTCCATTAATGAGGCTGTTTTTAAAGGCTTTATCCTGGTTCTAGTTCCCACATTACCTTCTGGAAGGTATCTTGTAACAGCCTCAATTCCCAGATTTGCGTCTCGAGCCAATTTGTCTGCCTCTCCCCTTAAACAAGTGTGTTTCCTTCTTATAATTATGTAATATTTACAAGAAGGGAAAAACTCCATGGTGACCCAGTTACATAACTTTAAAAATATTTTTATTACAAGCAGTCCAGACTTTGAGGCCATCTCATTAGACTGTCAAGTAGTCAAACGTTTGACCAGAGCTCTGTTCTCACTTCTGCAATGGCACAGGTATTTATTTGCTTTGCTGAATGTCCTTCTAACTCGGTCCCTGGGCCATTCTGAGTTTGAAGTGGGGCTGTCTCCCCTTGGCCTGAGGAGAAAGGCAGACCCAGCCTGCTCCCAGCAGCTCTGCCCATCGGGAACTGCAGCGGCCCGCTTATGCTTTCTTCACCCCCGGAGCCATGTTCTGGGGTCCCTGTTTGCTTGGAGCTCTGCACTGGTGCTGACTCCTTCTGAATGCCCCTCTGTGCGACGGAGCTCAGTGCAAACTCCAGCCTCTCCTGGCAGCTTTTTCCGCCACCTCATTACGAATCCGCCAGCATCTCCCGCTTGGGATTCTGGGAGTCTGGCAGGGCCTAAGCAGGCCAGATGCTCAACCACAGGAATCTCATGGAACACACCCTCAAGACCCTTCAGCTGTCGGAGCGTTGCATGGCACGGTCTCCTCCCAGGAGCAAGGGGTTCGGCCATGCCGCTTCTCTAAGAGCCCCTTTTTCTCCTTTCGTACTGAAGGACCTGCAGCTCAGGCGCCTAGTTACTTGTTTTAGTATCTCACAGAAAGCGGAGCCTTTAGTTCGATGTCCTCCAGCTGGCGTGACAGAGCCTTCTCTCTCCTGCATTCTCACGTAGCTTCATCGTAATGGTGCCTGAGTGTGTGAAAACCTCGGAGCAGGTATAAATCTTGTGTCCTTAAGCCCTATATCCAAGCATCTTTATAAATTATTTTACAAGCACAGCCACAAAGCCAAGAAAATTCACAGTAACATTAATTTAGTGTGATGGGATTTTTGTCCTGGTGAAACTAAACTGTCACTTGTAACATGAGTGTGGTTGAGACAGGGTGGCCCAGCTTTTCGAGCCCAGCCTGCGCATACTTCCACGTACCATGCAGTGACTGGCTCTCCCCTCACTTTTCCCCATCTGGAGTCCAGAGAAGAATGAACCCTGTGTGTGTCCACAGGCAAGAATTGGTTGGCCTTTGTCTGGTGGGTCTTGATGGATGCTCACTGAATGTTTGTGGCCTGACTAAAAGAATGAATAAATTAAGGTCACACAAGGTACACAATAGGTGTTTATGGAATGAATGAACTCGGTGATTGGGGTTTGTTTTGTGGTTAAGTGTGATAGTAATTTGGCCATGATGAAGATGAGAAAGTTCACCTTCCTCGTCATCGTAATTACCAACAGTCGAATGCCTGCCCAGCCCTGGACGTAGGTGAACTCGAGATCATTCACTATAGTTTCTATGATACTATGATAGTAAATGTCACCCTGGTATTTTAAAAACAGATGTGCTTTTTTTTTCCCCCCTCGGTGAGTACCACATTTGGCCAGTCTGTCTCTATCTTTCATTTGAATTATGTTTATTTTTTGAACAATATATTTCCCTCTTCAAACAATACAAAATGACATACAGGGAGAGGTCTCCCTCTGACCCCTAACCTCCCAGCACCCAGTCGTACTCCCCAGAGGCAGCCAGTGTTTCAGTTTCTGCCTTTACTTTTTTTTTTTTTACAATATTTATTTTTAAAAAAAAATTTTTTTTAAGTTAAAAAGTTCAAGCAGGTAAAAACCAAGTTTCCTTTCTGCTTTTGTTCAACCCCCTGATTTCTATCCCTAGAGACAACTATAGTTACAGGATTTTCCTCCGTCCTTCCGGAAACGTTCTTTGCCAGGGGTTCTCACCTAGGGAAGATCTCACACCCCTTCTTCCCCCAGGGAACGTTTGGCAATACCTGGAGACATGTTTGGTTGTCCTAACTGGGGTGGGAGGTGCTACTGGCATCTAGTGGGTGGAGACCGGCGATGCTGGCAAATACCCTACAGCGCATAGGACGGCTCCCAGCGCAGGATTGTGGCCAAGGTTGAGAAACCCTGTCGCACGCATATGTAAGCACATGTAAATGTGTGCACACGCCCCATTTATACACAGGTAGTTGATAACCCCACTCTGTGCTGCACCGGTTTGCCTTTACATTTTAAAGCAAAGCAGCGAGTGTGTCTGAACCAGCTTTGCAAGGCAGTTTTGAATACTCTGATTCCTGAAGCCGTTCCTCTGAGCGTTGGGCAGCAGGGCGGGGTAGCAGTGCCATCCCAGATGGCCCAGTGCCTTCTGATTTTGCATCCTGGCATGACTAGGTCCGTCTCTGACTCGTGTGGCTTTTCTTCCCCAGTTTCCACACTTACCCGTGCTGCTACGGAATCCTGGTGTGGCAAAGCCCACCACAGGGCTCACTGTTTGCTCGAGTGGTGGGATCACTGTGTAGCCGACCCTTTGCCAAGTCCTTTATTAGAACAAGACTCGTGGCCCCTTCTTCCCGTATAACTAAAGTCTTGGGCCGGTGCCTTCTGGTCTTATCATAATCGAATTTGACACTGAGATGCCTGTGGAGAGGAAGGAGTGTGCTGGTTTGGCTACTCCTTTCCCACGTTGCTTCACTTCAGCTGGATTTGGCCTCACCCAGCCATGAGGGACAGTCTCGCTTTTAATGCACTTCCTTCCGCTGAAGAGCAGCCAGCCAAATAGGCAACAGTCTGAATGAAGGAGGGGCCAGCCCTGAAAGGAGAAACGTGGAACTGGTGTCTCCTGAATGTGACCTATTCTTTGGATTTTAAATCACAGGGACTGCTGCTTAATACTGGACTTTTGTAGCCCAGACTTGCTGCAGGTCGAGGCAGAATGGTTGAAAGACTGCATGCTTTAATGCAAACCCTATTTGTTCTTTCTCACCAGGTCTTCCTAATTATACATCATGCACCCCTGGTGAACTCGTTAGCTGAAGTCATTCTGAATGGCGATCTGTCAGAGATGTACGCTAAGCCCGAACAGGATGTTCAGAGAAGTTGTGTAAGTCATTAGGGTCGGGACTACTTCTCGACCTTGATAAGAGGCCACAGGGCTCATTTTGGTAATCTCTGTGTTTCTTTAAAACCAGAAACCAACATTCTACTTACAGCAATGATGATGCATAAGCTGGCCTGGGAACCTAATCAGAGTCTTGAAATGGGTACCTAGGAAAATCCAGGGGTCGGTACCAAGAGTGGATTCATTGGTTGTGTGTTGTTGAACAGGGCCCCAGACTGTGTATCCACGAGACACCGTTGTGGGGACAGAATGAGAGAGACCTTGTCTAAGTCACAAATAGCTGCAGAGGCTGGACCTGAAACATTTGTGAAGACGTAGGCCCCATGTGAGAGCAGCAGGGAGTTGCTGGAACCGTGGCAAATTGGAGAGTGTTTGCATCCTTTGTGAGCAGTTGCTGTTCTACCCGCACCTGCAGTCATTCTGCAGGAATATGGATGCAGTATCGCCAAGTTTTCTCACGTTTCCGAAGAAACTGGGATTCTGCATTTTGATGCAAAATCTCCCAAGTTTTCAATGGTCACCCAACTGTGGCCCATACAGCGCATGTTTGTGCGTTTTGTGCTGTGCTGAAGGAAAACACTGGAAGACCAGCGAGGCTTTCCCAGCTTGGCCCCTGTGTGTCTCGCCTGCCCTCCCTCCTGTCCTCCGGCTTATGTGTCCTGAGCTGCAGGCTACCTCAGCGCTGGTCCAGCTCGCTCTCTCCCCGGTGTGCCCCATGTTTCTGCCTTTGTACCTGTGCTCTTCCAAACCCAGTCTGGAAGGCCCTGGTGCCTGGTTCCCTCCTGTCAGAGATCTTACCGGCTTTCAGCAGCTTATGGCAGGCATCTTGTCTGTCATTGTATCCGCAGCAGCATGGCCTCGGCAGGCGTGCCTGAGATGAGTGCAGGGTTTTTCACAAAGGCTGTTTCATGAGGGCTCTGGCTCTGTGGCCAAATTCTCGGGCAATAGCCATACAGATAGCAGGCTGGCCGCACCCTTGGGTAGTCTGCTCTGTCGCCATATCTGAGGGAGTGGGCGGAGGGCCATCCTGTAGCATGAAAGGCCAGAACCGCATGGTGTACAATTACCAGAGGCCCCTGCACTTCTGGTTTTTCTGGTGCACGATGGATCGGCTAGGCCGTTTTGCTCTTTAAGGCGGCATTTGAGCCTCTGAAAAGGTTCCCAGAAACTTTCTGTCCTTGTTGGTGGTGGCGTTAGTTCAGCTGAATTGAATGGGGCCTTTTCATGGCCCCTGTCTGGCCCATCCCTTCTTTGATTCATTCAGCAAGAGTTTCTTAAGCCCTTTCGTTGGCTCTGGCATCGTGCTAGTTCTGGGAATATACAAAATCCTAAATAGTTTCTGTTGTTTTGGAGCCTTATGGTTCAGGAAAGACAGGCGTTGATCAAATATACAAAGGGCTATACTATCGCGAGTCTTAGAGTAAGTGCTCTAAAGGGAGGGAGTAGTGTTTGCTGAGAGGGTTTGACCTAGAGGTGACAGGGGTGACAGGTATTGAACAGGAAGGACTCCCCTACTGGTCCGTGTCATGACAACACGTGGACTAGAAAATACGGAGCTGACTCGGTGTCCAAGGAGCCAGAGAGATTTCTTTGCAGCGTTCTTAAATTCGCTTTTGCAGAACAAACGCAAGTGCTAGGTCAGCAGAATCGGCAGGACCTCCCAGTCAGAGCTGCTGAGGACTCGCCAATCAGTGGACCACCTTGTTTCACCCCATTTGGAAAACAGAGATCAAGCCCTACTCAGGAGGGCTGTTGGTGAGGATGGGAAGGAAATATACAGGTTGCAACCCGGCCCTCAGAGCTGTTTGGTTTGATGTTCACAGTGTTTAAAAGGAAATTTGGTAAGTTTCACATGAAAACCCAGATTTCGGGGTTGTCTTGAACAGTCAGAAGATCTGGTTCCCATCGTGCTCGTTTCTGCGGGAAGCTTCTCAGGGGTGGCCTCCATCACATGAAGTGTGAGTTTGCCGTTAAATTCGCCTGGTCCCCACCCAGCCTGCTGCTACCTCATACTCCATTTAGTGGCAACATATTAGACTTTGTTTTGTCTCATGATTTCCAGAGAGCTGCTACGGCTTCATCGTAGGATGTCTTCCTATAAGACACTCACTGCTGAAGTGAGACTTGGTGTTCCAAGATGAACCCAGAGATCATCAAGACACTGGGTTTTGCAGGTTTTTTTCATTGAAATCGATTGGCATGCAGTTGTAAGGAATAATAATACCCTTTCTCTAGTTTTCCCTCAATGGTAACATCTTGCAAAACTCAAGTACAGTACCACAAGCAGGATATTGACATTCATACATGGGGTTTACAATTTGAGCAAAAGCAAACTGCAAAAAGTTACTGGTGACCTCTCAGCTTAGGATACCCACTTTAGTTGAAGCTTCTAATCAGAGGGAGCATTTAGATCTGTTCTTCCTCGCAGTGGCCTCTGCTTAGGATGAAGGTCGTGCCTCCAATGTGACAGACATGCAGACACTCGTTGTGGTGGATGCCCGAACTGAAAATGAGATTCTTTTGAATGTGGAAGGAATTGCCAGCCCAAGTGAAAGTGTCAGCTTTCTACTTCCGGTTTTTGCCTTACCCCAGTGCGAAATCAAAGTTTGTTGTATTCTGATGACGGCAGTTGAAATTTGGGAAGAGTGGAGGTGACTCTCATTTATGATTTGTTTGACAATAGTCCTGGTAAGATTTACCTTCCTTCCCTCTGAGCAAGAACAGTCTCCTGTTGTTTCCTGCCTGACTCGGATGTGGTTTGGTCATACTTGTTTTAAGTTTCTTGGTCTTTTTTAACCTACTTTCTCCTTCCCGTAATTTATAGATAAGTTACTGGTATTGCTTCATTTTACCAGCAGACCTTTCACAAAACCAAACCAAAATTGAAGAGAGAGAAGCAGAGAGGGGCAAGCAGAGTTATTTGAAAAGTCTGTAATTTAGGGTTAAATTTAAAACACATCAGCATGGTTAGGTAAATGTCTAATTGAAATTCGTCTGTGCATTAAAATCATATGGTTCTTTCTAAGGGATAATTCTTGCTATAATTCTAATGCACAGCAGATAGTGTTTCTTGCCAGGGAAATAGAATGAGAGAACACTAATTCTGAAACTGCTAACATCTCATTACTTTTGCAAAATGAACGTATAGATTAGATTATGGGATATGCCTCATGACCTGTAGGTACTTTTTTTTTAAGTAGGGACTTTTTTCATCCTGGGTTTCTGTGGATAGTTTCCTTAGTTTTTGCATTCATTCATCCATTATTCAACAGAGACGCAGTGGTGCACAGGGGAGACGTGACCCCTGCCCACCCCCTGCCCTCCCTGGGCTTCTCATCCCCTGTGGGGACAGGGAACTGTGTCTCGGAGATGCCTGCATCGTCTGTGCCATCATAGGGCTTGCCAGAGAGGCTCAGGGGGCACTTACTGCAGGAATGAATGACTCGATGGGTGAAGTGTTGGGGTCACAAGGGCCCTTGTGAGGTTCTTAATGACTCTCAGAACAGAAATAGCCTCAGGGCCTGACCCTCACATGCCACTTTCTCTTTGAGCAGAGGCTGGCATCTCGGGCAGTGTGAATGGGTTGCCTTGGGGCTGGTCCACATTCTGCCTTAAGAGGCGGTCTGATGGAGTGGACTCTTCAGAGCCAGCTGCCCGGGCCCCTCAGATCCAGGCTCCTCGTCTCACTACATGTGTCTCGGGGCAAGTCAGTACACCTCTCTAATCCTCAGTTTCCTCACCTCTCTAGTTAGAATAACAAACGTGGATTTTCAGAGAGGGTTGCATGCAGCGTAAAGAGCTTCTTCCAAAACCTAGCGATCATCAAGTTCTAAATATTAGATGTTATCATTATCATGATCTTCGATTCTGAGCTGGCAGAACAACCCCATGTCCCCTACTTGGGACCTCCCTTCTTGGTACGATTAACATAGAGGTACACTCAGTATGCCCCTTAGGGAGGCGCCTTATGACCAAGGCACGGAGGGCCAAGTGTCAGCAACAGTGACGACACAGTGACAGCGCTAATAGGAAGCATTTAGTGACAGCGGGGTGAGCCCTCTGTGCACTCCGGGCCCGCTGGCCGAGCCACCCCGATCTGATCTTTGGAAAGTGCAAACACTTAACCAGCAGTCGTACGTTCACATGGTTGGCTGGCTGTGAATTCAGAATGGGAACTGAAAATTCAGGAGAATACCCTCGTCTGTCACGAAGTGAGGATGTCAGCCATCTCTCTGTAGGCACCAGTTCGGCCAGTTGGGATGGTCTCCAGATGATTCTCTGGGGATCCGAAAGAGTGAGTGCACACCTATGAAATTAGCTGACAGTTCTGTGCGTGATACCTTTCCTTCCTGGCAGCTGGGCCCTCTGCTAGCAGAACACTCTGTCGGGACGTGGCCTGGGGAGCCAGTGACTGAGAAAGCAGCAGCCTGGCCTCTCTGGCCTGTCTTTGCAGAAGCCGAATCTGGGCTTGGGGACTCCGGCTGCTACTTCAGTGTTCTCTCCAAACCAAGCTTGAATCAGACAAGCCTCCCGCGTAGCGAATGCAGCAGGCAAGATAGTCCCCCAGATTAGAGTTCCCCCACATCTTTCAGTGACCTTGACCTTAACTCGCGACCTCTGGTTAATCAGTACTGGTTCTGAAGGACACCCATTCTTCTTCCTGAAAGTGGTAATAGGCTTCGGGGAGAAGGTCGATTATGTCACCGAAGGAAAAAATAGACTTGTATAAATCAAGGCACCGTTGCAAGCATTTCCACAAAAGAATCAGAGCTCGTGTGTATTCTCCCTTTTTGCGGGGCATTGTCTATCCTGTGTTCCCTCAATGGGGTTAGGGCTCCGAGGCACCACTGTTGCCTGCAGAAGTGTTGAGTGGGGCAGCGCTGGTTCACAGATAAGAGGATTGGACAGAATCAGAGAGAATCCAGGGGTCAGCGTGTTACACATAACAAGTAAGGCATTGTTGTAGATGAGTGACCTCTTAG